AATATTAGTTTGTCACACACCAAAACGAGAAATATACTTCAAGCCATAGTTTCCATTTCTGATTTGGTGACATTCTATAACTTTAAAAATAGTTTACCCACTTAGGACACAGTGGTATCCTCTTTGGTATGCCTCAGCTGGATGTGAGGGAGATAATATGAGTGTGTGTACAAAAAAGAAAGAGAGATGATTGTCCTAATACCTAAACCATAGTTTGTCGTCTGCAAAGGCAGCCTATAAAGTCTTCTACCTGGATTTGAGGATGAAGGTACACTGCAAAATATCCTCTCATTTGAGTCTTTTGTCTTTTTTTTTTAACAGAGGCCAGACAAACCATTTCAGCATGAGGTTTTGCCTCAGGAATAAACATTTTTAATCCTTTGATCTTTAGATCACTATTGAAATGGTCTTTGAAATTTAGTTTCAAAAACATAAAAAGGAAGTATCTTTAGAAACATGATGGCTAGTGCAGCCAGATGAAACAGTAGATATGCTGGAAGACCTGTTTGGTGTTCAGCAGCCCCTTCTTGAATCTGTATTTGCATTTATACAAGATTTTTTTCTAGTGGGTACACAGCCTAACCTATACGTAAATAGTCATCCTACCTCAGTCCCCAATGGTGTAATGAGTTGAATCCTTGTGCCAGCAGGACTGAAGACCGACAGGTCGCTAGTTTGAATCCAGGGAGAGGGCGGATGAGCTCCCTCTGTCAGCTCCAGCTTCCCATGTGGGGACATTAGAGAAGTCTCCCACAAGGATTGTAGAACATCGAAAAACATCTGTGCATCCCCTGGGCAACATTCTTGCAGACAGCCAATTCTCTCACACCAGAAACGACTTGCCGTTTCTCAAGTCACTCCTGATACAAAAAAACCTCTCATGTTCAAAAATCCAAAAAGTCAATCTTGATTTTTCCATTTTATATAGGGGACACTATTTTACTGTGCTACTGTATATAATGAAACTTGAACATCCACAGATTTTCGTATTCACAGGGGGTCCTGTAACCAAATTCTAGCATTATATAATGAGAGATTTTGGAAGTGGAAGAAAGTTTAAACATTAAGTTCATGTATGTTTATATACACCTTATACACATAGCCTGAAATTAATTCCATACAGAATATTTTTAATAATTTTGTGCATGAAACAAAGTTTGTGTACATGGAAGCAATAACAAGAAAGCACGGGACAACTTTAAATTTTAGAGTATTTCAAATTTCAGCATTTAGAGAAGGAATACTCAACTTGTATGCTCAGTATCCAAATAAGTCTTACCTTCTGCCAATTTTGTACTATATCATTTTCTGGATGGTTGTTACCATCGCAAGACTCTATATGCTTTTTGCCTTTGGTGCTAGAATCAATAATCAGTATATCCACAACATTTAATGCCCAGATTTTCAAGAAAAGGGCTGACTTTGAAAAAAAACAAGCATTTGTCATCCCCTCTCAAATTGAAAATATAAAGATGATAATTGTGTCTGCAATGAGGATGGCAAGGATGCAAAAGCGTTACCTGAGCGACAGTCACAGGGTTAGGCCTGAGTTCTCCCTTAGCCAGCCAGATGTTGTTGAAAATAGCAACCTTCTTCAAGCCTCCTATACTAGTTGTTATGTACAGTAAATAATTTAAATTGCTTGCTGCATTGTATATGTGTGTGTTGGTATGCAGTTTTACCTTAACTCTATGTTGTGGGAGGGGCTACAGACCATGTGATCCAGAACTGGGACTATTCAGACCTGAGACTCCATTTTAGAGGACAGGTGCTATTAGATGCTCAGATGCCATCAAACTTCATTAGACTCTCAGACTGTACAGACTCCATTAGACTCTGAGAGATGCTGAGTCTAAGAAAGATGCCCTGTGTTACCTACTCAGAAAAAACAACTTCAAATCTACTTGTAACTGGATTGATAAGCAATGTACCTGTATAATGAATACATG